ATATGTTTCTGATTTTTTTATATTGCCTGTACCCTCCGTTGTTGTCAGTTCGTTTGCATTCCGCACAACAGTGCCTTTTGCGGCCTAGCAGGCGAATAGTGCGGTTCTTTATTATTGTAGGTGGCTTGCAGTTTTGGGAACAGTTTGAGGAACTGAATGGTTTGTAGCACGTAAGAGCGTGTGCAGTAAGAAGTCCCAATGACCGTCCACCTCGAGTTGGGGGTGAACATCCCAAACCACCTGTTGTAGATAGTCGTGTAGAGCTGGCACATTTAACCGTTTAAAATTCCAACGCGAATTATTGATGGGATACCTTAGCTTAGTTTTGCTGACAAAAACTGAAGGCTATAACTGCATGATCGCTTTTTCCCAGAGGAGCCAGGATTAAGAGATTTTCAACTAGGAATTCTTCGAATAAGAAAAAGAGAATTCAGCGAAGAAAATTTTCTTTTTGACGAAATCATTTACTTAAGCTGTACATTCGTATATATAGTTATATGGAAAATGTATGTCTATAGAAGGATAGAAAGGATTGTATCACAAAAAATGGATTCGACAATAAATAACAAATGAGGTTAACGTACTAATCAAGGGGTAAGGAAGAACAAAATTTAAGGGTCAGATAATAGTCCAATTGACAGATTGACAGATATGAAGAAAAACGACAAAGCAACAAAGGTCATAATAATAAACTGAATGATAATCAAGAAAACTTGTAAAAGGTAATAATAATAAATGATTAGAGTTTAAAGTGCAAAATAGTAATTTAAAATATGGATAATAATAAAAGTGCATTTAAAAAACAAAAAACACCTAGAAACATACCCATTAAGGCCAGGGAAGGATAAGAGGTTGGACAAATCGTTTCTGCACGCAAAGTTCAGGCTTTAGTTTGTGGATTGCCAATGCCTCTGCGGTGCATAAAATATTGATTCGAACCCCCTTCGATCCAGTCCCTTTGGCTCTGTAAACTATTTTAAACGAAGAGTCTTTTGGGGCGATATGTCCACAGTTGATTAAGTGCTCCTGAATAGAACTCGTGATTGTTTTTCGCTCCCCTTTCAAAAGCCAAGCCGGATAATGTTCCGAGATGCGTTTGGATAATGATCGCTTTGTGCGGCCTATGTAACATGCCCCACATGAGCAAGTAAATTTATAGATACACATTGAAGTGGCCCAAAGCGAAAGTTTATCCTCTACACACCCCAGAATGGTAGGTCGGCTAGAGAAGATGATTCGAAGTTTAGCTGCGTGGAATGTTTTATTCATTGATTTCGAAATCCGTTTATTTAGGATTTCAGCAGCTGTATCTCCCTTAAATTCCATATTCATAAATAGAGTTTTTTCTCTACTGTCAATGCTTTATCATGGGGTCAAGGTACCAAGTTTCTATCGATGAATCTCGGTGGATAACCGTTTTTGATGAGGGTCTGTCGAAGATAAAATAATTCCCCATCTATTGTGTCGTTGGAACAAGTTCGCCTGATCCTTGAGGATAAAGAATGAATTAAGTTCCTTTTTCTAATTAATGGAACCCAACTGTGGAAGTTCGTGTCTTTTCCATTCCAAGTGGGTTTTCTGTATATCGATCTCTGTAATAAACCGTCAGGCATTCTTTTTAAATGGATATCAAGAAAATGAAATTCGTGGTTTGTCTCTGCTTCTAAGGTGAATTGGACTGATGGGTGACAGTTATTGAAAATATTCAAAATATCATTGAGGTCACTATCTTCTTCGCAAATAATGGAAGTGTCATCCATATATCTTTTATATAAATGAAATCTTTCAATTATTGGTCGAAGTACCGAATTTTCTAGGTTCGCCATAAAACAATCAGCCAGGAGAGGACCCAATGGAGAGCCCACTTTTATTATTATCCATATTTTAAATTACTATTTTGCACTTTAAACTCTAATCATTTATTATTATTACCTTTTACAAGTTTTCTTGATTATCATTCAGTTTATTATTATGACCTTTGTTGCTTTGTCGTTTTTCTTCATATCTGTCAATCTGTCAATTGGACTATTATCTGACCCTTAAATTTTGTTCTTCCTTACCCCTTGATTAGTACGTTAACCTCATTTGTTATTTATTGTCGAATCCATTTTTTGTGATACAATCCTTTCTATCCTTCTATAGACATACATTTTCCATATAACTATATATACGAATGTACAGCTTAAGTAAATGATTTCGTCGAAAAGAAAATTTTCTTCGCTGAATTCTCTTTTTCTTATTCAATGACACTATGGGTTATTTTAATTATAGGAATTCTTCGTTTGTGAATACACAGTCTAGGCGCGATGGTGTCTAACTGTTTCTCCAACGAGTTGCCGACCTCACATTTTCGTATAAGCCCAAGTCATCGATGAGGCTGAAGAACCGAGCTTCAATTGAGTCGTCGCCTCCAGTGTACGTGTGTTCCGTGAAGTTGACTCTAGGGAGATTAAAGTCCCCTAGAATCAGGATGTGTGTGAAACCGAGACGATTAGAGCGGGATAGTCCTTCCAGCATACGACTATCGTACTCGATGTCGGCAGTTGGCTTCTTGTAAATGACTCCGACTAGACACCTCGAAGTACTAGACAATTTTACAGAGCACCATATGGATTCCACAAGATTGTTAAACTCGAGGTTATGAACTTGATGCATCTCCAAGCAAGAGCTTATGCATATGGCTACTCCGCCCCCAATTCCTGTTTTTCTGTCGTTGCGGAACAAACACATCCGAGGTAATGCTAACTCATGGTCCGAGAACTGAGAAGATATCCAGGTTTCAGATATTCCTATCAGATGGGCCTTGTTAGCGTTGCTAAGTTCACGTAATTCATCCAGTTTGTTTGGTAGACTCACGGCGTTCATATATAAGCAGTTTATGCTTTCGATTTGGAACGCGTGAGCTTCGTCCTGTTTTTCTGTATGAGCCTTATGTGAATGGACAGGTAGCCCACCTATATGAGGTTTGCCGAGGTGGTAGGCCCTGTCCTTTACACGTTTTTTTATCGTTTAGACAGTCCACAAGTGGAATGGTCAGCTCCAACTTGCTTTGGTGTTTGGTCCTGACTTCGTATGGCCTATCCGGGTGCATGTGGATTCCAGGTGGCAATCGACGTCTATTAGCACGAAATGCTTCCAGAACTGCAGCCGCCATGTGGGAAGATGGGAAGGTTATCTTCATTAGACGGGGTCTAAGATCACCGTCCTTCTTGGCTAGTCTCGTCACATGCTGAGTCAGTATGTGTTTGAGCCTCAAGGACTGTTTGATGAATTTCCATTCCCTGATGTCAGAATTTGACTGAGTAGAGTCTGCATTTTCCGGCATACCTTGCACAATTATGTTTCTTCCGCGGAAAAACATCTCGCGAGATTCTTTAGGGATGTTCCGTATGATATTGCGCTCAGAGTACGGTATGTCGGACAATGTTCTAACGTTACCATCTAATTTCAGCAAGTGACTTGCTAGCAAGACGTCCTCTACGTCGATAGCGTTCTTAAGTGTTTCTCGGAGAAGCCTCGGATGATTTAGATGCTTAGAATCCTTTCTTCGAGTGAGCCGGATGACCGTCAAAGGCTCTATTCTTGGAAGTCCAATTTTCTTGTTCAATTCTCTCCGGAGCATCCTATCATTTTTGTCCTGCAAACTGAGAGGAGGGTCAGGGTTGTCTTTGAAGTTCATGACTATGAGAGAGTCATCACGAACAGCTATTGTCGTCCCAGGTTTTCCGGTGCGTTCAGGTTTAGCACCTTGTTGTTTGGGGGTCGAAGCACGTTTATGAATCCTTGGCTCTTTGATGACCGGACGGACAGTCTTGGGGGTAGACTGTGCGACCAGATCACCAGTTGACTTCCGTTCAACAGCTGGGATGTTCAACTTAGACTGTGACGCCTGGCCCTTTTTAGCTCTTCTGACATGGGTCCAATCACCTACAGAGCTTTTGGGAACCATTGTCGCGTTCAAGGACCTTGAGCTGTGAGACCCAAGTTTGCTGATGGAGTCGAGTACTGTCGTCGTAATCATGGTGCTAAGTTTCAGCGTGTCATCATTAATGCTGTTGCATGCTCCGTCGTTGGTAGACCTGTCAACATTCCTGTTCTCGTTTTCAATGCGCTTTCTTGTTTGTCTACCCATTTTTGACTGTCTTTTCCCAAGTTTGCAGACAACTTACTCTGCAGACCTGTCAGTAGGACAATGATATTACTCAGCAAGAATTCAGCATCCGTTCTGCACGTAACACATTCCCACTTATGATCCGGGTTGCTGAGTCTGATGTAAGCAGTTGCTATGAGATCTGTGCACGCTTCGTGGAACCAACCTTTGCAGTTGTCGCACTGCATGCCAGATGTAATAGCAAAACGGCCTCCAGGTCGTTTGCATGAATTTTTCATAACTGTATTGACGTAAACTGTGTTGTAGATGCTGGCAAAAGCCTAAGACTGTAAAAAATACACTAAAAAACACTGAAAACGGATGAGATAAACTGAACTGGTCTTTACCTGAAAAAGTGAAAAAAAACGAATAGTAAGCTGAGGCAAAACCACAGTTAACTATTAAATCGGGTGAAACTTTAAAAAAAGTAATCTACCGAACGTATAGCTCAGGATAGATTATTTTGGACAGAAATGGTACTTTTGTTGCGTAAGAACACAGCAAAAGTTTGATAAATGCAAATCACGTTAGGACTAAACTCCCTGTTCGAAAAGCGAAGTGAAGGGTTTTGATGATATATTTGGAAGATTGTCGATATATCGAGAAGCAGTTGGTTTAAGCTGGCTGGCAGTTATAAGGAATGATTAGTACGTCGTAACCACTCGTGATCTGGTGAGGGTGTGTAACTGAACACCTTCAGTTATTATTTCGTATTGGGTTGGGATAGAAGTGTGGTTTTTTCAAGCGAAAGTGCTAATTACATAAATTAAAGACATTCGTTTTCTGAACAACTGGGATTCTATATCTATACTCTTGTTTAAAAGTTATTGAGTACTGTCGTCCCACTTCCGTTGTTTTAATGTGCAGTCATCCGTTGCGTCAGACTTACACTCTTGGCGTTGTCTTTCTTTGGATTCTAATTCCAAGTTAGATTGTAAGTCTGTTTAAAGTCGACTTGTGTACTAATTAGTGTGGATAGACTGGGTGCCCATCCTGTTTCATGGTTGAAGGCTGTAATCATCCACAGGCAGATGGTAGTTGGTGTCATCGAAAATGGCTATCAACATCAATCGAGAGGTTGAAGATACCTTTTACAGGTATAAAATGCCGAAACTTACTGCCAAGGTATAATTTTAACTTTGTATTGAGTTTTTTGTAGGTAGAGGGCAAAGGGAATGGTATTAAAACAGTCATCGTAAATGTGTCAGATATCGCCAAAGCATTGTACCGAAAACCCATTTGTATGTCTTTTTTCACTCCGTGAACTCCTTTAGATCTCACTAAGTTCTTCGGGTGTGAGCTAGGGGCTCAAATCCATGTAGACGAGAAGAATGAACGCTATATCGTTAATGGTGCTCATCAAGCAGAGAAATTGCAGGAACTACTAGATGGTTTCATTAAAAAGTTTGTGTTGTGCCAGAGCTGCGGGAATCCGGAGACTACCATGGTTAGTTCTGTTAAAAATTACTCTCTTCGATAGCACGTCAACAAACGAGGAGGTACAGTTGCTACAACATGTAAAGCATGTGGCAGTCAGGGACAGTTGGACGTTACTCACAGGCTGACCCAGTACATAGTCAAAAACCCTCCAGAACCAGAAGCTACTCCAGCTAAATCTAAGCAAAAGAAAGGAAAGAAGACGAAAGGTGAAAATGAAGGTAAGATAACTAATAAGCCGTTACTGTCAGATGACGATAATGAAGCAAACACTAACGGAGATGAGAATAGTCGCAGCAGTCCTGTTAATGCTGATGAAGATAATGAAGATGACGACTGGCTAGAGGACACTACTGAGGAAGCGCGACGTCAGAGGATCAACACTTTATCAGCCATGGCAAAGTCCCTTGCTTTGTGTGACGACGTGGAGCGCTCTGAAACGGAGAGAGCAGATATTTTCTACAAACACTTGTCACAGATGCATCAGAATGACAAAGTCCTGGCAAACCGTAAAGAGGTGAGACTGGAAGCCGACCGTCTTAGTCTTGGTCCACGTGCCGTGTTGGTTATCGCCGAGGTGTTATTTAATAACCCATCTACTATTCTGAATGATATAAAGAAATACGCCCCGTTATTACTTTTGTTCACTCGGTCGGGTGAAGATCAGAAACGAGCCCAAATGTACACATGGGGTGCCATGGCGAAGCTTATCGAAAGACATTCGGACCAAAATCTAATAGATAAGGCGTGTCATCTTCTTAAGACATTGTACGATTGCGACGTTATCGAAGAAGACATTATTTTGGATTGGTACGACAAAGGAGTAAGTACTTTATTTAAGCTACATTAAATCATAGCCTTCAAAAAAATTTGTATCTCGCGAGTTAAGTGCAAAAATACTGGCTCGCTGCTCTCCTATGGTGACATGGTTGCGACAAGCTGAAGAGGAAGAGTCGGAAAGTTCTGAAGAGGAGTCTGAGGCTAATAACCACACAGTAAGTCCTTTTATTAACTGACTCGCTCTTAGATCACTCAACCTATTAATGGGTCAAACAGTGCCAAGGTTCCTGCCACTAATGTGACGGATGATGAAGATGACGATGTGGACATAGATGCTATATAAAACGTCACACCAAACCGTGTTGAATTACTGAGCTACCAAGCTTTAGCCCGTCTCTGATTCCTAATTTTTTGTTGTCTTTTTCTAATAAATATATTCCTGCCTGGTAGTTTAAAAGGCGAGTTCTTCGGTTTGTGTGTTGTTACTGTGAGGAGCCTGTTAGATTGCTCGAGCGTTCAGTGTGGTCCATTGAGTAATGTATTACCGTTCACTAGGTGGGTTGCGGAGTTATGTTCCTTGTGTCGAGAGGTGTGTAGTGCTAATTATGATGTGCTTTGTAATGCTTTTTCTGTGCGTGGGACTTGTTGCGTTGTCCGGCCACGCGACATGGCTTTCTGGTCGTAAAAATATCTTCCTCACTAGATGGGGTGGGGTACGCCCAATGTGTTAACTGCAAAGAATTAAGGTGGGTTGGACAACAGCCCACTGGAAGGGGTTGGTTTGCCACTTTCCGTGGGGACAGTACTGTATGTGATCCACCGCAACGCCGATTTACCGCATATACGTGTTGTCTTGGTCCATTTCACGCCTGAGGTTAAGCCTGCGTTATATTTCTTTCTTTCGGGTTATCAGATAGTATGTCAAGCCCTGGTAGCAGTATTTCCTGGTCGCCAGCATGCATTTACTGCTGTCTCCTGTCCTAAGTCTCGGTATGGTAACGAACTGATTCTTCTATCAAATGGGGGTAACGTATTTATTAGTGTCCTAAAGAGTAGGGAAATTGGATCCTGACGTCAGTTACTCAAGCCATTTGTTCAGAGTGTGAGTAGACAAGTTGAGAAGTACACAGAAGCAATGAGAAGGTAATTAGTACGATCACTCAAGATAGTGGGACGTAGTGATATTTGGCGAACTTCAGTTACTCCCTTTCCTTTGGATTTGGAGAGACCTTTCCCCATCATCTCAATATTTTCATAATACTGGCTTTGTGGTTATTGGAGATGCCAAGCACTACTATTCTCGATCTAATTTGCAGTCTCAAGTTCTACTCTAGGATATTACATATATGACCATCTACCCAATGCTTGCTTTGTTTGGAATTATCAAATTATGATTTTAGTCAATAATCTTGAATCATAAATGGCAATAATTGGTGGAGATTTGTAGCTCAGGTGGATAATTTACTGGGGTTTTGTCTGGGGTGAATGGTTTACTGATGGGGCTTTCATCGTTTTTGTGAACGGCATAATCGTGTCTTTCGTCTTACCTGAGTCTTGGGTTTCGGTGTCGTTTGATCTGTATTTACTCATTCGTTTTCGCCCAATACTCAATGTTCGTCATTGCTAGTGGGATTATTTCAACTTCATCTTATTGATCTCACATCGTTGTACCGACATTGTAAAAGAACTTAAGCTAATGCATACTTGTCCGTGGCTCGACGCTGACTATGATTGATTTATACCGTTTACATTCTCGATGTGGTTCAAAATGTTATTAGTCATTGTATATGTCCAGCCTAACATGTGAGCTCTGAAAACTTGATAGGAAAGATTAAGTATCGAAGATACGACTCGGAAAGAAATTATAAACTAGTGAATAAAACGAAAAAGTTTATGAAGAATTTAGAGTCAGGTTTTGGAGGAAGACAATGAATGGATGCACCTGCGCCATTCCAAACGATTTTGAGCCATATCATTCGAAGTCTGACCATTGGTTACGATAATCACACGGACTACAACCAGGTAATCTATACCTATTAACATGGTTAAGTCCAATTATCAGTGACTTCGTGTACTGATGTCATGTTTTTGTTTGGTCGCCCCTAGCTTCTAGCTTGCTGCACCGAAAAGCACCACCCGTCGAGGTAGGTGGTGGTTGGGAATACGCAACATACATCCCAACCACCTCAGTTGATGAAGATTTACTACCTCATCATTCAGTTTTCCATCCTTATCTGGTACTCTGTTCTTAACCCGGACATTGCTAACTGCGTGGTCGCGAAATTCACGGACAATGTTTTATGGACACTTACTATCGAATACTAGTAACTTACGAATATTCTCTACTCTTAATGGTCATGTTTCATATCCATAAAGGAGAACAGAGCAAACTGCTTCTCAGTAAACTCACCCTTTGGTTGGAAGACGGATATCTCGCTTACGCTACAAGTGACGCAAGTTGGCAAAGGCCAGTCGAGTCTTCTGAGTCCGTGCCGAGACTTTGTCAGACACTAGACCATCAGTACTGGTGAGACTCCTAATATAAATGAAACGGTCAATGCGTCCAACTACTTTACTACTTATTCAGGTGATGACGCAAGCGGCTCTTGAAGTAACATTTTACGTTTAGAGGGAGAGAACTGCATCCCAAACATGTTTGAACTACTGCTTACGATGGTCAGAAGACCCTGTATTTTATCAGCGTCTTCCACAAACAGAACTATATCATCTCCATATTCTAAGTCAATAAGTGAATCTCCTGGTCTGAACTTGCAGAGTTTGCTGTTATCAGTTTTATGTATGTTACTTAAAAAGATTATGAGGGAAAGCCTAAAAAATCCTTTATTTATATTTGTCTCATACTTACCATAAAGTTGCGATAATCTCTAGAAGTGATCATTTACGAGTAGATTGTAGATTAATTATGCAGCTTACTTCTATGTGAATTAAGCTCTGTTGATGCTGTCCAGGACGACAGTGAAAGCTTCTCAATTAAATCACACTTATCGGAGAATACAACGGAAAACATTCACTTTAGCTACAGATTCATTATTATTATCATTGTTACTATTTAAATCGCTTTCCAAATTAATTTTCGTCGCTCTTTGCGCTTCTACTTTTAGTTGCTTCTGGTACAATTTCACTTAGTCGTTTGAATATCTTCACCCTAAATTAATAAAACAAGGAAACAATTAGTTTAGTTAGCAAACTGTGTTCATCTTATAGTACACTGTTAAGTTTTGATTTACAATTACCTTATAAGAATTGATTACAAATTTATGTTGTAATCATAAACACTATATGCTTTGACATTATAATATTCATGATTTCGTTATTGTAACTATTGTGGCGAGTCAAATAGATCAATTCCAATAGAATGATAAGGTTATTACAAAAATCGGTTAGAGATGATTGATAATATATATCGAAATATAAATTATACACAAATAAAAATATGAGACATTACTTAAATTGTTAGAAGAAGGCGTGTTCGGGTATGTATCCAGATTAATCATATAATGAAGATATCAGTATAATCTTTAAATATAGAAAGAAAATATTTTACAGTCCTATTATTATAACAGCTGATAAGTAAGGACGAGAAGTATATGTGTGCAATAGTGTATTTGTAAGTGATAATCAATAAATTGTGCCATGAGAGTACAAAATAGCAATAGTGGTCTAGAGGTTAAGCGTTCGCGCACGAAACCTATAGGTCCGGGGTTCAAATTCCTCAGGGCGGGTTCATGGGTGCACACTACTGAGGAGTCCCAAACCGGGACGAAATGGCTATCCAGTGCTTATAGGTTTTCCATGGTGGTCTAGCTTCAATTGATTCATGATCTCAACTGTTTAAAATTACTACAATCTCCACAAAACCCCTTCTGATATTAATCAACAATTGCTCTCTAGTGACTGGCTTCAAGATATATATCCTGGAGTTCTAGTGAGAAGCAGTGACCAGCTGAGTTCAACCGGGTCAGTTGTAAGGTAGTAACTCACTGATGACAATTGTCGATGTGTTGCTCAATTTCGTGGATTAGTTGAAGTTAGACATTAACACCGTTGGATGCCGGCTCAGTAAATGTAATCTTTGATTATGATGATCATTCTATTTACCCATAAACTTCCCAACATTCTCTTAAAAGCACAAAAAAACATTCAGCTGAAATCTTCTGGCATATACTATAACGAGATATTGAAATACGTCCTAAGAATCAATTCTATTTTACAACATAATGTTTATTCGTAATTTACGTTTTGCAAACAAAAATACGTTAGAGTAAACTAATTGTGTACAATAAACTAAATGACTGAATTGTCTGTTACTTTAGTGATCCTCATATGATCTCGATATATATATAGTTTTAATCAATAAACATTTGATATGATTAATAAGTATTGACTGATTACCAATGTTTATTTCATATATAGAATAAGTATTAATTGATTCCAAGGAATAGAACATGAATATTGAGAAAGAGTGATTGCTGTCTTTCAGAATTCAATTAATTTTCCTCAGTTTTCATCGCTTGTTTCGAACAGGTTATCCAAGTATATCTCAAGGACTGATAGATTATATGACAGAGCACACTTTGTTGATATACAACTGTAACCTATTGCTAATATGGGTGAGATTTCCATCAAATGGTATATTCAAAGTATTTTCAATATTTGCTATGGTTATTAGGTTAATGATATTCAATGATCACTCGGCTAAACAGATAAGACAGTTGATAGGACTATAAATCCTCATCAACATAATTAACTAGTACTTTACAAATTCATCCAAACACCATCAATTTCAAAATGCTATCTCAGCTGGAGGAGTGGTAGCAGAATGAAAAAAAAGGGTTATTAGATCATAACATCAATCATTAAAGATTTTACTTGTTAGAAACTGCGTATATTTTTATTGGGTTCAACGAGACAGATGGAACTAATGACTCTCAACTTAGAATGACAATAGTCAAAATCTATGAAAATAAGGAAGATACATAATCTCTGTCTCTATAAATATAGAGAATCGTTACTAATTTTTTCACTGTTATTGCATTCTCTGAGCTAGATGGTTTAATGATGAAAATTTCATTGTCATTCTAGATAATGTTATCAGAACCTATGGTCTAGAAAACACGATGACACTAAAATCATTTACTTGTGGTACATACGTAATTCATCATTTCAAAATCCATTTTGATGTATTTCAATTAGTTCTCCCTATTTTCATTGCTAATTTTTATCTCTCTATTTTACCTCACATTTTATTCATGTGAATTGTGCAAGGTTTTGAAGTAATACAATAAGAATATGATTACATCATATCATACCGGAAAATGATTAATTTCCATAGAGTTTTCATTTTAAAACAGTGAAGAACATTTTTTAAAGATAAGGGAACTGAAGAAAATAGAAATAATTTGTTACAATCTATTTGGTAATCAGTCAGCAA